GGCCGTCTGACTGATATCAATCCGTGATCAACTCATCAAAACTGCTTTTAGCCTAATCGCTATCCTAACAATCTTTCTAGCATGGTTTGACCCGAAGGAACAGTAGTTCCAGCCAATGTAGCTTGTTGGTTCATTTCGATATGCCAGCCTAACCAACCATGTAAAGGTAGAAGTTATCGATGGGGTAAACAGAAATGTACTGGTGAAATCCTATGTTCCAATTCTGATTCCAGGAGAATAATAATAACAACAGTCCTACAGAAACTTCAAAGCTTCAGTTTGAAATAACTATAAAACTTGGGCACGTTGGTTGTTGAGTATAACTCCATTATGGATAGATAAGATTTTATTTTGATAAATCACACAGTGGTGTTATACAGTAATATTAACTGATGCGACCACGCTTCCAGCACAAACTATTGCCACTCATAATCATATGAATCACCCACTCACACAACTTTTTACTTCATTTATATACATGAGTGGAATTGACTATGTATCCCAGCAAATGTTATGATTCCTAACTCAAATAGTGTAAACAATGACTGCTTCTCATGCTTTAACACGAATGATGTCCTCAAGTGTCTTCAATCTCTCAAGCCTACTCAGTCCCTCGGTCCTGATGGTGTTCCTGCTGTTATCCTTAAGGAGTGTGCCGACATCTTGTGTTCCCCGCTAACTGACATTTTCAACGAATCGTTTTCCAAAAGTATTATACCTGAATCATGGAAAAACATCAAGATCGTTCCAGTGCCTAAATCTACAAGTGGACCTAATGTTAAGTTTAGACCCATTTCAATTACCTCACCCTTTTTGAAAGTTATGGAAAGACTTATTTTACTTAATCTTGATCCCTCTTTAAAACCTTTCAACGACCCCAACCAGTTTGCTTATAAACATAGTAGGAGTACGTTAGATGCCGCTGTCGTCCTCCACCATAGCATAGTCTCTAGTTTAGATAAAGGAGCTAAATACGTTCGCTGTGCCTTCCTTGATTACACATCTGCATTTGACTCTGTTCCCAGGTCTCTCTTGCTAAGTAAGCTTGCTGCAACACAGGCTGAAAGCTGGACAAATAAGTGGTTGCATTCCTATTTTTCTGAAAGGAAGCAGTACACCGTCTACAATGGAAAATCCTCCACTACCTCACTTACTTTAGCTGGTGTTCCTCAAGGTGCTGTTCTTTCTCCCTTTCTGTTCTCGTTTTTCTTACATGACTTGCCTCATTCTGATGTAGCCACTTTTGTTAAATATGCCGATGACCTCTCGGTTTCTATGCCTGTCAACTCTCAGTCAGATTGTTCCAAATTAAATAGCTTTCTGTCGGAAATTAGTCAGTGGTCCTCTTCAAACGGACTTAAGCTTAATCCGTCTAAATGTCAGGTAGTCAATTTCACTTTCAGACGTAAATGTGACCTACAGCAACTAGTTAGCTCACATGGCCCCACTCTCATTGACGGCACAGAGGTTGAAAATACATCTTATGTCAAGTACCTTGGGCTGAGTTTTTCCACCGATCTTTCCTGGTCTTCCCACATCTTGCTAGTTACTAGAAAGATGTTTCGCTTAACGTTCTACATTAGGAAATTTAGGCAGTCTGGCATAAACCAGTCTTTACTTTCTCAGTTTGTAAATTCTTGTATTCTACCCATCCTCCTTTACTGCTCCCCATTAGTCTTTCCTGGACTACTTAAGAAAGACTTTGCTTCGCTGAGAAGGGCACTAAAAGCTGTTAGTAGGGCAAGTGGGATATCGTTAAACCAACTGGTGAACACTATTGTAGATAGACATATTATGTCATGTAAGAAACTAGCGAATACAATATTGTCGGACCCCGAGCATCCTCTCTATACGCATCTATCTCCTTGCATTTCATCTGGTAGAACTAGAAGCAGCTATAGGAGGCTATATGCTAGGACTACCAAATACAAAAACTCCACAATACCATATCTGGCACAGCTGTTATGTGATGAGAAATCCGTTAGGTATGACACGATAAACTTACTGCGGCACTCTAACAAATAGTCCCATTAGTTTTTTTTTCCTTTCCTCGTTACTATACACTGTTGTTCTCATCTTCTACCACACATCAACTTTATATTTCAAATCCTGTGTGCATTGTTTGAAATGAAATACTCTACGCTGTTTTTTTTTCTTAATTTTTAATATTTATTTATTTTATTTATTTATAACTTATTTATTTTATTTTTATTTATTTATCTTTGATTTTTAAAAATCTTATATAATTTATGAGGTAATTAGATGCAATATACTGTAATGCACGCTGAAAATTCCATACCTGTACCACAAATACTGTTTGGAATAAAGCTGTTATTATTATTATTATTATTATTATTATTATTATTATAGATATTGGAATAAAAATCAATATTGGGTAATGTACATTCAGAAGTAATAATATGGAAGGTATTATTACCACCAGTCAGTCAAGTCAGAGGAGGATAATAAATAATCTTAAAGTTCTGTTTCAATTCACGTACATTATAACATTCTAACAAGTTATTTATTTATTTTACTGTAAAATGCATCTTATTTCCGATCTGATTGTATTTGATTGATAACACTTATATTCCATATTAGTTTTTTTATTAGATGTATCACACAGTCACTGAAACAGTGTGATTTACTGGATGACACAGTTTCGAACAAAATTTATTCCTGTTCATAATCATTTCATCAATTATAATCACACAACTTCGAAACTTGAGTTTTATAGTCTCCTTTGTCCTCTCCTATTTGTCGTCGTTGGAGTAGTAGAATTTTCCAGATGGCCGACTGGGACAGGTGTTGAATCATTCCTATTACATGTATTCTGTCTCAGTTGATTCGATAAACAAGGCTTCCGTTGACATCAATCTCTCACTAACACTAATTAACACTAATATTATTTCTAAATCTACATTATCTTATATTGATTTTTTTATTTTAATGTCTAATCATTTATTTTTACTCATGTATATAAATGAAATAAAAACGTTGTGTGTGTGAGAGAGTACCTTGATATGATTATGAGCACTAATAATTTGTGCTCAAAACGTTATCAGTAAATATTATTGTACAACACTGTGTGATTTATCAAAATAAAATGTGTTATCTATCTGTAATGGAGTTAGACTCCAGTTTAAAGCCCTACAGCACATTATTATCCACTTGAAACATAAACGGATGAAGAACAGGAGGATAACGCAAAATACCTTTGCTAAATACATCCTCAACGTCGACAACTACCTACCAACGCATTCTGCTAATTGATATTTAGACTTTAATTCGTCTCATCCGTTAACCATTAAGGCAGGCTTAGTTGAGTGAGTGTCTAACAAACCGAGCAGTTGCACTAAGTAGTACAACAAAAGACCTAAATAATGAAATAAAACAGATAGAAGAGGCGATGGTGTTAAATAACTAACTATTCTATAAAATTCATTAGGAATATCATTAAAGGTCAAAAGCAAATTAAAAATAATTGTGAAACTAGTAATGATAACTTAAATAAAAGAGAATATAAGTCATCCACTGTTATACCATATAAGGAGGAGACATCTGAGGCCCCACGTATGATTCTGAATAAAACAGGAATTAGAGTGACATTCAGACCTACAAACGCACTCATATAGGACAAGCTCTGTAGGCTAAAGGACCCTGTCGGTTGACCCAATTAAACAAAATAATATAATTTACTATAGAAAGTTAATCTGATGCTCGCTAGTGACTTGCTACAGGTTGGAGTTTCCTGAGTTCTAGTGAGAAGTCGTGACCAGTGAGGTCCAATTAGATGTCACCGGTGTGGATGGATGTCCCACCAACGACAATGGTTGGGGTCGCGCTAAATCACGAATTGGTAGAAGTTAGAATTCACGAGCCATTGAATCGGCTCCCAGTGGCTGAATGGTGCCTTGTAACCGGAAGGTCCTGGGTTCGAATCCCAGTGGGTGCGTACTGCCGATGATTCCCAAACTAGGATGAAACAGCAGCTGTCCAGTACTCCCTGGTTTTCAATGGTTCTCTAATTGATATCAATCCGTGATCAACCCGTAAAACATAACTAATCCTTACAAACCAAACTATAGAAATTTACAAAATACCCTGCAATTACTGTGAGGTCAACTGCATAGGTCAAAATAGTAGATCGAGTGTAATCAGATTTTCGGAACATAAGAATTTGGCTAAGGTAAGTATGGTTGACCGTAGAGAAGATGAGTAATTGAGAAAAAAGCACTCAGCGATTGCACTGCTTGCATTAACACACAACCACACAATAGGGTGATGGAAGACGGTTAAGATTCTAAGAAGTAATCTGTGTTGGTGGAGAGTGAAATTGATTACTGAATCCTGCCTGGTTCATTGAGTCTACACCCAACACATGGAATAGGAATGACTCAATGCAAATACCACAGATATGCATGGAAGATATTATTACCACCAGTCAGTTAGTCAAATCAGAGGAGGATAATAAATAATCTCAAAATTCTGTTTCAATTCAATTCACTTACATCACAACATTCTAACAAGTTATTTATTTATTTTGACTATAAAAACACTCGTCTTATTTCCCATCTGATTGTATTTGACCAATAACACTCATATTATTATTTCTGAATGTACATTATCCTACACTGATTTTTATTCCAATATCTAGTCAATTCCACTCATGTATATAAATGAAGTAAAAAGTTGTGTGAGTGGGTAACTTCATATGATTATGAGTAGCTATAATTTGTGCTCGAAACATGGTCGCATCAGTTAATATTACTGTATAACACCACTGTGTGATTTATCAAAATAAAATCTTATCTATCTATAATGGATTTATACTCTACCATCACTACATTGCCCAAGTTTTATACTTACATATATCAACTACGTACCATGTAAGCTTTGAATGTTAACCTGTGAAATTCTAATATTTAATTATTATATTTAGCAGAATAGTCGAAATCCAGTTAGAATACATTAAAATTTACAAATTATTATTCACTCACCTGTAGGAAATCCATCAGACACCGTGATGAAGGTGAAATTGAGAAGACATAAGACTGTCACCGCCACAACACTGACAACTAAACGGCTCATGTTTGATTATAAATATATATACTATTTGTATCACAAAACCAAAAAAAATAAGAGGCACAAAAAATGGTGGATGGCAGTAACTGATCACAAACTTTTCTAATATGTGTGAGTACTATTCAACTGTAATGCTCTTTGCCTATTTATATAAATTACTCAGGATTTGAAAAAATCATAATAATAATAATAATAATGATTATAATGTTGACATATTATTGCATGAGAGAAAATTTCTGCAATTAATTACATAACATCATAATCATAATTTATACATATGTACGACATGTTTTTCAGTCAGAAATTGTTATCCCCAATTAGTGTAATGCAAATTTTAATTGCTTATTATACGACCGGATATAGAATGGGAGCAAAAATATATGCGGAAATTGAAATTCTACACTGTTAATACTTCCAGACTAATTATCATCAACTGCTTACAATAATAATAATAAGTAATAATCATAATAATAACAGCAAGACAGAGTAGATTAATGTTCAAGTATTGGTTTTGTGGGGATATTTTATTTGATTGGATGAAGTGAAAAGCAACAAGTTGGCAGAGGAAGAAGCATCAAAGATAGGACTTCAAGTGAACATAAATAAAACAGAGGTGATGAAGATTCCTGGCCAACATCACCACCACCAACAACAACAGACAACAATCAGCCAGCATAGATGGGAGGAACCTGAAAGAAACAACCTCCTTCACCTACCCACCTACGGACCTGGGAAGCATCGTTTCAACTACAGGCGGACGGAACTGACGAGGATATCAAAGCGACGAGGATGGGGAAAGCAAGACAAGCTGTCATTACTCTCAAGTCTGTGTGGAGGAGACGAACACCACTCAGCACCAAAAATAACATCCGGATTTCCAACTCCGACGTGAGGTCAGTCAGTGCTACTTACCACACGGATGGGAGACTTTGCACGTCATAAAGAGTATCTCAAACAAACTTCAAACATTCATTAACAGTTGTCTTCGCTCAATACTACTCAAAATCAGATGGCCAGCCAGAAAAGATCACCAACAGGGAGGGATCTCTGGCAATGAGCGAACCAACGCAGCAGGAACCGATTGTGCAACAAATACGCAGGAAGAAATGGAGATGGATTGGCTGGCCATACTCTGAGGAAACACGCCATCAAGTGACATCTCTAGACAAACCATTGCTCGAGTGGAACCGTATTGAATGGGAAGCGGCGAGTTGGTCGTCAGTGCGAGGATGGGGTGACTTGGAGGAGGTCGTGTGAAGAGGAGATGAAAGCATGTGGGGAGAATTGGAGCGTGGTGAAAAAGTTGTCAGAAAACCGAATGAAATGGAGACGCTTGGCTGAAGCCCTATGTTCCTCTAGGAATTAAAGGATCTAATAATAATAATAACAATAATAATAGTAATAATAAGGATTTCATCATGAGCCGACATCAGTTAGACAACCATTGGGTTACCAACTAAGGAGTACTGGACAACCAGCTGTTTCGCCAACTTAGTCTGCGGCTCTTCAGCATTACGCACCCGCCAAAGGTGGCTCGAACCCAGCGAGCCAGCTTGTAGACCATTAAGCAGCCACTAGGACCCGATCCAATGGCCAGTCAGTACATGAATTCTAACTTCTGTCAATTCATTACACAGCGCAACCACTTCTCAGTGTCTTCTTCGATGGGTGGCTGTCCTCCTCACCTTCAACTTGCTGTATCCTACTGGTCATGGCTTCCCACTAGAACTGCCTGAATAGGGTCATTCGTTAGTGAGCATCAGATTAATTGAGAAATAAACTATTCCAGCAACATAATTACAAACTTTCAAATATAAACACAAGTGGACTTGAGGATTAATCACGAATTGACTTCATTCAGACAACCAGTATTGGAAACTAACTAGGGCGTACTGAACAGCTATTTCATTCTTGTTCGTGACTATTCTCTCTCTCTCTCTTCAGAAGTACTCATCCGACACGATTAGATTAAGAGGATTGCTTGTTGACCCTTTAGTCATTAAGACTGATTGAGTGACTGACAGACTGGTTTCAACATAGAACTTGGCACAGTTTTGCAGCAATTTGAGTTGCCACACTTTCCCTTCATGTAACAAACAAAGCAAGGGAAGACAGGTTCAGAAGGTTAAGTCACATGATGTCTGCTTTGTTTTGAGACTCTGATATGTTTGTTGTGTGTATATTGATCGATATTCCATTATAACTCACAATATGCTTTGTCTGTCCATTAACTATTATTTTTTATTTTATTTTTGATTACAGCTTGATTCCACACTGTATTTTTGGTACAAGTGTAGAATTTTCAGCGAGGATATTGGTAGCCCAAAATTCGCAGGCCGACCATAGATATCAGGTGTGCATCGGCGTGGGCTTGAACCCCGGACCATGTGCATGGTCGGCGAGAGTCCTAACCACTGTGCCACCGACGCACACTAAATAAACAATGTATGATGACCTTTTGCCACATGATATTACAACCAATCAGAATCCAATGGTGGTAAGAAAAACTGCTAATCTGTCTTATTGGTTCATGTATATTAGTCATTTTCATATATACTCTTTTATTGCACAGTTAATTCACACACTTTCACACCTTTCGTACTCTTTAGTACTTTTCTAGTTATATTTTTGTGTGACAGTTAATTTTCCTTGTTGGAAAATACACATATCTTCGTGAACGTGGTAGTCTTCTGATTTGCCTCCTTCGCGTCAGAACAAATTAAGTACTCAGCAGTACCAGTCTGTACGTTATCGTCCATTATATCTCATTAGCGCATATTTATACTTGGTCACACTATAACATACTGGCGACGAGTACATAACAGTTATATGTTAAATAACTCTGAACCAGTCAATAGTATTGATTTTGTGACCTGACATTGATAAGTGCTTTGCAATCGATGACAATGATGATGATGGATTTCTATTCAGATCTACAAGATCACCTGTAGTTGTGGTGATACTTATATATAGGTAGAACCAATAGAATGTTCCAATGTCATTGAAAGCAACATACTCCTAGATTGGTTATAAGGACACATAGAAAATCCCAATACAATTAATCTGAATAGAAATCCACCATCATTAATTGCAAAGCACTTATTAGTAGAAGTATTAGGGAAAAATAATAGTAACATCAAAGAATGACAGTTTTATTGGTTATTACAAATTATAAAGAGTGAAGAATGCATCTCTCGGCCATCTTTGAAGACGATTTCAGCCATATCAACAATTGTGTCTAGCCAGCAGTTTCTTAATATATCGACAAAGCATACAATCAGGCTGTCTACACCTCCCTACGCGCTTCTCATCAATCAATTATTTTTTGATGCAATTGTGGTTTCTGAGCTGGATGGTTTATTCGCAAAGCTTTTATTGCCCTTCTAGACAACATCTTCAATTCGTTGAAGTGAGCTTTTAGATTTCTCCACGAGTTTATTAGTCATCTCTCCTGGTGTCTTTGAATGTGGTTATTTGTTTTTGCGTGATTTCACATCCTCTAGGCTACTTGTATTGTACTGGAACTGATTGTCTCCTTGACCTGAAGTTTAACCCTTTGTGTGTGAGATTTCCTTTTTATGGATTAGTAATGTTTGCCTATGTCAGTCTGTCTATTGATTGACGATTCACTGGAATACCAGACAGCCTTTAGAAATTCTCTTGCATTCTTCGTGTTTTCTCTGTCTAATATTTGAACGTTGGCCATCCCAGTCGAATTCATGTGATACTATCAATGATACAACATAATACCACCGATATATCGATGATACGTTTATTATTTGTAACGACATGAGTCATTCATCACAACGATGAGTTGAATTCGCTGAACCATAAGGTAAGAAGAAGAAACGGTGGAACGGTAGAAAAATTCATCTACAGAAAAGGAACCCGGAGTGAACAATATCTGCCCCATAAGCTATAAGCGGGGATTAGTAAGGACACTCACTATACGACGGAGTCAGCAAGTTATGTTCACCTTACAAGGTAGAATTAAAATTAAACTCTGTTGAAAAATATCTCAAGGAAAACGGGTATTCAAAGGGATTTATCCTAAAGTACAGCAAAGAAAAAAGAAAGATGAGGAAACCAAGTGTCCAACAGTTAAAAAGAAGAAACTTTTCATTCGTCCCCGATTCAAAGGTGAAGCAGTATCACAAAAGATTGAAAAGAGGATGAATGGAGCAATAAAAAATGCTTCCCTATAGATAAGCTGGTGATGCTATACAGGAATAAATGCTCCATAAGCGAATCTAAACTGGATAAGTGCCCTGCTGATGTTACCTCCAACTGCATTTATAAATTTATGTGCTCCTGAGACAGCAAGTACATTGCAAGGACGGAAAGAAGTCAGGACTTCTATACGGTTTTCAGAGCATATTCCAAGAAACTTATGCTTAAGAGGATTATTATTATTATTATTATTGTATCCTTTAGTTTCTACAGGAACATAGGGCTTCAGCTGCGCACCTACATTGCCTTCTGTTTTCTGACAACTTTTTTACCCCGCTCCAGGTCTGTCCACATGCTTTCATCTCCTCTTCACACGACCTCCTCCAAGTCACCCTTGCACTGACGACCAACTCGCCGCTTCCCATTCAATACGGTTCCACTCGAGCAATGGCTTGTCTAGTGATGTCACTTGATGGCGTGTTTTCTCAGAGTATGGCCAGCCAATCCATCTCCATTTCTTCCTGCGTATTTGTTGCACAATCGGTTCCTGCTGTGTTGGTTCGCTCATTGCCAGAGATCCCTCCCTGTTGGTGATCTTTTCTGGCTGGCCATCTGATTTTGAGTAGTATTGAGCGAAGACAGTTGTTAATGAAGGTCTGGAGTTTGTGTGAGATGCTCATTATGACGTGAAAAGTCTCCCATCCGTGTTGTAAGTAGCACTGACTTCACATTGGAGTTGGAAATCCGGATGTTATTTTTGGTGGTGAGTGGTGTTCATCTCCTCCACACAAACTTGAGAGTAATGAAGTAAAGCTTGTCTTGCTTTCCCCATCCTC